CAACCACTTTTTAGCCGTCGATGAGGGGCGGTAGAGGTGGTGGTGGTGGTAGAGGGGGTAGAGGGTAAGGAGTGGAAGTGGTAGAGGGGGCTGCGCAAGCAGAAAAGCGAGCGTAAGCGAGCATTTGATGCTTGTTAGCTATTATTATTATTGTTCTATCGTTGTGTTCAGTGTCAGACTGTCAGCCCAACATATGTCCAGATAAAAAGTGGGCTCTTGCTGAAATGTGCGTCTAGGCGTCTGGTATGATACGCGCACAGTACTCCATAGAGCACTTATAATCCTTCCCAAGGCTATGAGTGGCCAGAAACTCTAGCGAATTCGTATCTTTAAAAGAAGGGCACACTCAAGGAACCAGAGGCTTCAGCCGGGGCATCCGGATATCAGTTTTTTAAACCCCCACCCCCTGGAAGAGGCGCGAGATCAAGGTCTCCTGGGGGAATTGGTAGGATCAAACACTAATCCAGGCCCAGTTCTTTTAACGTTTCCCAACGCGATCCACGCTTGCTAAGCACACATTATAGCGGATTGCAATGCGATTATAAGTCCTTTTTGTTCAGCTCGTTTGTAGAAAGTTCCATTTCGACCACGAAAGCAAAATAGGTAACTTCAATAGCCAATGGCTTGCCACACACCTGGTAGAGTAACGCAGAGATAATGTACGCCCAGTACATGTACAGTCCATACATACATGCAACTTTTTGCAGGCTTGGGCACTGACAAGGGACGATCCATGGTGGGGGCGCATGTCCATTGTCCAGTTAGAAGAATGTAACCGGGAGATATTGACCTCACCGGAGGATAAAAATGACCAAAGTCCCCTTCAAAACGATTAGATCATTTTGACTACAATAAAGAGAGATGCGGTCTCCATAAAAAAGAAGCTATTTTATCGCAGGTTAGCCTATAGCACGCCGTGACCCTTAGTCAGTTGACTCCTATCCGCATCGTGTTTGTTGTTTTAAGTTGCTCCCGGCCGTGTTTAGCGGGGAGCGAGCGGGTGGTGGGTGTGGGCAACTGCGTCACCTGTTTTTCGGTCTCGTCAGCCGCCAGTCACATCCAACCAACATCGATCTCCGCAACCTCACCTGCTTCAAAGACTCAACCTGGCCTCACTGAGTTCTCTCCTACGACGGCCCTTCATCTTGTTCTCGTGGGCAAATTTTCATATATTCTTATTTTTGCTGTTGTGTTTGAATCTGTATCTCCTTTGCCGTTGTTTGGAGTGGGGTACCGCATTACGTGTCTACCTTCACCATGGCATTCCGTCTACCTACACATCCTCCACAGAGGCAACAAGCCTACACTGGCGCCCCTCAGCCCTCCAGCCTCGAGACCAGGTCTACGGCTGCGTACTTGCAACGCCCCCAACAGCAACAACAGCAGCAGCAGCAGCATCAACAAGTCGAAGAGTCGACAGAATGGGTCCTCTTCTCGCCCTCCCACGCGGGCTCCATTACGGCCCGCACCCATACCACCTCCACTGAAAGAACACCGCGCACAGCTGGCCTGTCGCGAGTCAGTGATTTTGGTTCGCTTGACACTGCTGCCCAATCCCAATCTGAAGATGAACTTGATGAGGATGTGTTGGAAGATGATACCACAGAGCTTGACAGCCTGGACGATGGCTTACATGCCTTTCGCGAACCTACTAGATACAGGATAATATCTACTCAGGCAGGCCCTTATGATACCGCCATCCTCCCAGCACATGACGGGTTAGGTTTGTTTGCCCCGTCGAGCCAGGATGTACAGGATCAGCTCTGGCAACATGAACAATACAACCCGCGACGGTGGGGTGACGGTAGACATAGAAGGCGGTCTAGTGTCCAGAGAAATTTGGAGACTGTTGAAGAAATCCAGGCTCGCGAGTTAGAGCGCGAGAGATGGCAGAGAATTGAGCAGTGGAGGATGGAACAGAGCCGTGCTTTGTTGCAGGAGATTGAGAAGGAGACGAGGCGGAGAAGAAACAGCCGCGCAAGTCATACTGGCGAAAGATTAGTAGTAGCTCGACAGGCTCTTGAGAGTGATGCGGGGAAAATCGATCTGGAAACTAATGCCTCCGAAGCTGGTACTCAAGAATCCCGTCTTAGCCAGGATTTAGGATCGCATGATTATGATGATGATGATGCTGCAGCTAATGAGTCCTTCTGGAGAAGGATCACCCGGAAAGTCATTCGGGACTTAATTGGTATCGATGACTCCTTACTTTCAGTCATCTTGGGTGAGTCGCTTGTCCCGACTGAGAAAAGAGAGCAAGATGAGATGTCCGCAGTGAACGATCTCAGCGATTCTACATTAGATGGCTTGCACCATCATTTGGATGGGGACGAGGTCCTGAAAGACGTGAGTGACGCTCCTCACGCCGACGATCATTGGCATGAAAGGCTCCTGGAGCGTATTGCTCGCGAGTTGGGAATTCTGGTCCATCAACTATGTGAACATCCAGGTGCCTTCAGCACTTATGTTCGCTCTTCAGCATCTATTTCTAAACAGTATGCTGGTATACCTATTTCTCCACCTCCTTCGACACCCATAGCATCTGTCTCTCGGCCATTTCCCCTGTCTCGAACCGCGTCAAATAATACCACATCCAATCTTGCGTCAACATACTCTCCCCAATACGAATTCGGCCCCACCCTCCGAGACGTAGCTAACGCTGCATTAGAAATTGGGGAAGAAGCACCCCTCTCCCCTTACGACCCGAATACCCAGCCTGCGCCACTGACGGCAGGTCAAATCCCCCAAAGCAGCGAAGCCCTCTCAGAAGCCGCCCGCCTTGAACGCGAGCGCGAGTATTGGGAACGCGAGCTAGATATCAAAATGGTCTTCCACTTCCTGCGCAGCCGCTTTAGCAAAAACATCCCCTTCACAAATGACGACAACAATAACAAAAACACGTCCCCTCGCCGTCGCAGCTCCACCAATACCACCACCACCCTTTCAACCCACCCAACAAATCAACAAGACTCTTCCCTCCGCGCTGCCATAATCCGACAACATCACCCCCTCGTCGCGCGCGCCCATGCCCGCTCCCAATCCCAAATCCAACGGGCCATGGCCCGGCAGCATGCCCGACAACCTTCAACATCTCTCTCGAGCCCTGCCATGGCTGGGCCCGCTAGCCCAATCCTCTGCCATCATATCCGCCGCCCTAGCTCCAGTTGCGCAAGCCAAAGTGCAAAGATGTCTGTGGTCTCGGCGAAGCGGACGATGGCTGGCGGTAGTGGGTCGAGTCGACATTACTGGGATATTGGGGGTAGCGTTGGGAGCGGAAGCGTGGTTGTCTCTGCGGTTGGAGGGATAGGGAGTTGGCGCGATGTTTGAAACGAATGTTTAATTATTTATGCTCTAGTGGTGAATAGCGAACGAGGTCATCTTCGCATCATTGGTTTTTTTCTTCTTTCTTCCCCCTTTAGCCTTTCTTGGACCTCGATAAGCATATATGATTCTATTTGCTACCTTCTCGCGTGGAGTAACATGCTTTCTTTCTTGTGTTTTATCTACCTTTTTTCATGCTCTGCCCACATACACATTTGAAGTATATCACGGAAAGTGAATAGATGGCTCAAAGGGCATTGGAAGGCGCGTCGGAAGAGGGATTAGGGGGAGGAATCCTTGGGCCAGGCTAGATGGGAATGGATGCCTCTTTGGTTCTTGTTTTTCGAATGATAGCATAAATGACCTTTTGGGAGCACGGAAAGGCGCGTAGAGGGAGGCTGTCTATTCTCTTACATGTATATATGAAAGCAGTTTGGTAACTTCAAATTAGTTGTTTATAAGCTAGATATGTGGCCGAAGCAATACTTGAGACCTATATCTGGGTGGCCACACACTGTGTATGCGCTGCAACACACCACCAGCTAAAGAATTACACATGGTGATGATCACTGAGTTACTGGCATATCAACATATTTCTCATATTCCCAAATAATTTGTTAATCTCACTAGAATTCAGTTAAGTGTGACTGAGTATACACATAGAGAAGAATGACTGTCCATATCATGAAGAAGCAGAGACACAGAAAGACTACTGTAGAAACATTGACATTTATATTGTAGTCTTATGAAGATCAAACATATAGATTTGAATAAATGTGACTTTCATTCATATTTAAGAGTCATATAAACTGACTGACTGACTTACTGATACTCAATGCTATTTTCACCAGTTCATAACCATCAGTGTCTAAGAGAGATAGAAAAAGAAAAACTCTTCTCTATTGAAATTCACTGAATAGTTGAACTGTAAAATAGTTATGAGGATTCACAGATCAGAGATAAATCTAGAATGCATGAACTTGTTACACAGTGCCCATCATATCAACAGATTCCCATGCTTTTCATGATGGATCAATGAAAATCCAATTCCACAAACATTACACAGACAAGGATGGAGTCCCAGGGATATATCTTATATTTTGTTTGTTGAATCCTTTTTGTAAACGCTTAGATTTGTGTCATAAAACAATAGAAAAAGAAAGAAAAAAGGAAAGAAAATCAAAAAAAAAAGCTAACTTCTTCCCATTCATTAACAAATCTATGCTTGCGACAGATTCTCATACGCCTCTGGGAATCGCTTCATGTTCTCCTCAATGTTGCCCTTATTTCTCAAGAACTGAACGTAGGCACCATCAATCTTGACACGGCCCTCTTGTCTGAGCTGGATGTACTCCTCACGTCTCAGTGGGGTGAAGCCCCAGTTCTTACTGACAATGATCTTCTGACGGCCGGGGAACTTGTACATGGAGCGGCGGAGAGCCTCGACGGCGGTAGCACGGTGGGCATCACGGGTGCGAACGCTGAGAAGGATTTGGCCAATGTTGACGCGAGCGACGATGCCGTTGGGCTTACCGAAGGCACCACGCATACCGGTTTGGAGTCTATCCGCGCCGGCACACGACAACATCTTGTTGATACGGACGACATGGTAGGGGTGGGCGCGGACGCGGAGGTGGAAACCTTCCTTACCGGCGACCTTGACGAGGTACCTGGATTGGTGATATGGCATCAGTAAAAATATTGCTTACACGCGGGACTCGATTTGTTGTGGTGGGCTACGTACTTGTTGGCGCAAATACGGGCAGCTTCAAGAGCCTCAGAGCTCAACTGTTCGTACTCGTTGGACACCATGTGCACACACAGAGGGAACTCATCGACATTGGCCTTCTTGCGACCAAGATCAAAGATACGGATCTTAGGGTCGGGCACACCGCGGTTGAAGCGGGATTTAGGATATGGCTATGGCAAAAGCTCAATTATTAGCATTTGACATAGAATTTTGGCCCCATTTAGTTTTCAGTAAATGCGTCAGCAGTCTCCTGTCACATCGCACGCCGAAAATCGCACACGGAGCCAGTGATAGACAGACAGGTGCTTTCAACAACAGTCATTGACGTCTCCTTGCTCGGCTGGTGGGCATGCGAAGTTTCGTCTTTCCCCACAACGATGTTCATGTCGAAAATCAAAAGGAGCAACAGGAACATCAGCAGCATCGTACCTTGTTCTTGCAGTAGCGGTAACATCTCGCTGGACGACGTGCCATTTTGTCGGATGATTAGGAGCAATGACAGCACTTCCTGCGAACTAGGTGATATGTGGTTTGGCGGTGTTGTCGGTCGTTGTCGTCGTCGTCGTGGAAGAGATTCCGGTTAAGTATTCAAGTGTTGCCGTTTTTGATTTCCAAGCATCGGGGCTAGTGACATCACATGACCATACCCTAAGCCCTAATATCCTAAATAAGACATCAAAGGGGGAATTGATTACTAATCGTAAGCCACTGGCGATTAGTCACATGACTTTGATATCAAACCTTCCTCAAACAAGAAAGGAAGGCCTCAACTCCAGGCAAAGAATGACGATGATGATTGCTAGCAACAAGCTAGAAGCCTCATCTGCTGACATGCTCGCTGATATGCTTTAACTACTGCAATCAACCGTTGCAGTAGAAACTTAGCCTCAGACCTAACGCATTCTAACACTGAAGTTGGGCATCTAAGGGGCGTGTCGTCAGAGATGCACAGCCAGGTTTGATGAAGGTATTACTATATGCTCTACATCAATTCTCACTCTTAAGGCAAAGGCAGAGGGATTCACTCAGGCGTTTTCCGTGAGTACCGAGGCGACATTATTGCGATGGGACAAAAATTTCGCTGGGACATCCGCGATGTTTTCTAGATGCGGAGGTGCCCTGCGTCCTATCCTTTATTGAATCCCGAGAGACTTTGGGATCACGCACCTAACGTCCAAAATGGCATATTTTCCGAGCAGCATGCCATCTCCTTTGCCAGGTCCCAGGGGCCAGGAGCATGGTTAAAGTTTTCATACTTGGCTTGCCACTTGGCTTTATGGCAGATTGATTGGCCAAATTGCTGGGAATATGTCGATAGTATTTGGCGATGGGACATGAAAAAGCCTATTTCAACCTGTTTTCACACGGCCGCGGATGACTCTAATAACAGTTATCTACAGGATGCCCTCCAGACACTCAACGGATTTTATGCATCGTGAGCCATGCCTAACGAGGCGTGTATTCCATTCCTACTAACCCTCAGCAAACGCCAAGTCCTTTCAAATTCGAGTTTTGAAATCTCATACAAGGCTGAAGCGCGTTTCACTGTTTGACGTAGCCAGAAAGACGGGGTGACATCGGCTTGTTACGTCTTCGTTGTGGGCAGGGCAGGATTGTCATACTACGCAGCGTACGGAGTGGTGAACAGAACTTGAAACTTGATCTCTTGCCAAGGTATCTGCAGCATGCAGTCTCCGCTTTCAACAATTTCCCGGTGCCACTCCTGAGTCGGCTAGGCTTGAAGGAGTTGCGATGATCCTGGATCCCAAGTGAGTAGTGATTTCAGTTGAAGTTGCTTGTCTCGAGTTGCGCTCCACCACAAAAAACCCTATCCCCGGCTAGGCACGCGCCACCCGCGCTAGCATCGGCAGCACGTGCTGTTCGGACACGGCACCTGGTACGAATCGTCAATTGTCACATTTATTAATTCAACAAAGAGCCACACAGGTACCGTAGAGAGATGTAATATGCCTGGACAAAGCCTTCTTTGAAGTTTGCCGGACCCATTATTACCATGCAACCATTATTGTTCCCACTGTTGGGGTGGAGAAACACTGGGGTCCAGAGCCACTGACAACTGGAGATACCAGATTCAACCCCGGGATGCCTTGAACAAATGGGGCATCGGTCCACTATCTACTTTGCGTCCGAGGACCGAAGACGAGCAGGCACAGAAGTATTTTGAATTTCCCTTGCCTTCATAGTATTCCAGAGCACCCGTGGATGCTGGCGAGGTCCCTGATCTGGCTCCATGGAGAAGAATATGTGCTCTAACCCAGCTCTTTGGTCCCAACATCGTTAATATCCGCTGTTCTTTTGATTTGTCGTTCGTATGCTACCCCGACTCTATATCTACGGAGTTGCTGTTTTGCGTTGCCCCGCTGCCTCCTTATGCGATCGACAGAACACTGGTGAAGGCTTCATTCAGCATTGTGCTCTGAAGGCCAGCAGCTTTACATATTCGACCCCTCCCCCATTTCTTTTCTTCCTATCTTGGCATTATCTGTTCCAGGTCTGATAGGGCATTATATTCTCCATACTATACTCAGGGATTGAAGTACCAAGTTCAATTTACAACTAATCAGTTGGATTTGCCAGGTGTTGTGTGCTGTCAACTATTCCATATGTGGTCTGGGTTACCTAGGCCTGTCTAGCAACTACGTATAAAACCGCAAAGCTGAGGGGATTCCGGTTTCTGCTTGCCCTCGCGGCTGGCTTGGCCTCCCTAGCCACAGCAGCAGGCGTTGAAACGCGAGCGGATTCAATCGCCGATTTACCAACATGTGCCGTAGGTTTTCTACTGCAGCAAGCTTACCTGCGGCGTATTATTTTCTTATTGACTCTTTGGAGAGAGTGCGGCTGCTAACTTTCAACTGATGCATTCTAGACAAAATGTTTTTCCCAACTAGCTCCAGAGTTCCCCTGCCTTCTCCAGGATCCAACATGCGTTTGCTCGGATGACAACCTGGCGATGGCTGTCGAGAATTGTGTCCTAGGACACTGCACATTTAGAGAAGCCCTCAGTAAGACCTCAGGCGCTTGATATTGTCACCGTGGATCTCCTAAACCTGGTTACTCATTACAGTATTTAAAGCTGCGAAACGTATCTCAGAAAATCTCTGTGGACACTCTGAACGAGACAGAACGTCCTTGGTTTCAATATGCGGAGTAACGGGACTTGCTGTTGCCTTTACCGCATTCATATTGCGCATGATATCGAAGGCACCATACTTTGGTGGACAGTTTCATGCAGATGACTGGACCATCACAGTCGCTATGGTAGGCTTCGATATTGATATTCTTGATCTTCGACAATATGCTGATAATTTATTAGGTATTTGGTATACCTTTGGGTGTTTTGTCGGTACCTCGTAAGTATCCTCTCATTGGAGTTACCTCTCCTGGATTATTTCTCATTCGGAAGTGTATAGTCGCCAATGCCGGTCTGGGGAAGGACATGTGGAATGTTCAGTTTGACAAAATCACATACATTCTTAAAGTGAGTCGCTCCATCGCATGGTCTGTGGTCTCAACGAAAGAACATGGTGTCAACTAACCTTCTAATCATTCAGGTCTATTACGTACAAGAAGTAATGTATTTTGTCACCATGAACGTTACGAAAGTATCCATATTGTTCTTCTACCTGCGAATATTCCCTTCACACAAGTTCAAAATCGCCTGTTATGTCGTGATGAGCGTTACCATTGCCTATGGGACTGCGCTTGTGTTTGCCGCTCTGTTCCAATGTAACCCGGTCCATCTGGCCTGGGAACATTGGGATGGCGAGCATACGAACTACAAATGCAGCAATATCAATCTCATCGGATGGTTGAGCGCAGCAATAAATATCGTTTTGGACATCGTCATTATCACCTTGCCAGTCAAGCAACTTCTAGGATTATCGTTGTCAGTGAAAAAGAAGATCCACATCCTACTAATGTTTGGTGTGGGATTTTTGTTAGTTTCCCCTTTCTGACTCCCATCACTACCAACTTCGTTCATTGCACAGATTGTACCCTTTTCGCGGTCACGAAGGAAACGACTCAGTTCTAACAAGGGAAAAAATAAACAGCGTCACAATCGTCAGCATAATCCGCCTGAAGTCGTTACTTCAATTTGGTAACTCCCATAACATAACCTGTACGTTCACTTCTTCATACATATCACCCCTCGCACCTATCTTACCTCCTATTCTGACAAACTTAATAGGGGATCATGTTCCCGTCGGCTACTGGAGTACTATCGAAGGGCATGCCAGCATCCTCTGCGCATGTATGCCGGCAATCCGTGCTCTCCTCCGCAAGTTGTTCCCAGCGATGTTCGGCGACCGAACCGGTGCCTCGTCCAGCGGAACTAGGAAAATACGCACGAACAAACTCAGTAGCAGCAATGTTAAAATATTTTCTTCTCAAGGACATGTTCCGCATTCGCCGCTTTCACCACGTTCGCCGCATGCGAGGAATTCTCTAGGGAAAGGTGGTGGGACGGTGTCTTTAGAGTCAGATATATTTCCCTTAGTCGAAAGAGGGGAAGTAGGCCCTGGGCATGGGTTTGGGAGTTATACAATCGTTAAGAGTGTCTATGAAAATTAGTAAGATTGGCCAAGGTATATATATATCACGATAAGCACGACGGAGTACGGTTTGCTTTTGGACGGCGCGTTGTTTTAATTTTTAATTTTTAATTTTGATTACGATGTGTGGCCTCATATTTTAATTTATAAAACTGTTTACGATTCCAATCGGGCTTCAGGAGATGGAACAAAGTGAGATGAATCATTAACAAGCAGCAGTTCTGCGTCTCTCCGGATAAATTGGATTTTGGCTTCACCATTATGTTTTTGGCTCTGCATTTGTCGACGTCACGTTTATTTTGTTGTGTTTCCATTTTCTCATGTCCAGTTTCATTTCCAGGCTAGTGGCTCAGGTACGGTACAGTACATACACAGGCTCCAGCTAGGAGGTAGAGGGAAACTAAAGAGTCCGCTATTTATCTCCAACAAGCAAGGCCCAACAAGGCACCTGCCGCCCTTCCATTCCATTCCAAATGCAATGGCGGTGGCAGCAGCACCCTCCCACCTGCCTCACAGAAAAAGCATCCCGTCATCCATACGAAATGTTTTCACTTAAGCAGTGGTGCCACTGAGGATATCGGAGTCACCAGCATCCAAGATGGCCATGGTGGAGCATCTGAAGAGCTTTCCGCAGGCGGTTCCAAGCTCGATCTAAAGAAAGTGGAGCAAAAAAGTTACTTTCCCACAATTTCCATCCCCCGCATTCGTGGGAAGGAAAGAGCGGAAAAATAAAAGTATTCGATAGTCAGCGATTTTGGTTCGATACCCTCCAAAGCTTTTTGTTTCTTGTAAATGTTGCAGGGAGACATGATAAAGCTTCTTCGCTGGGTAGAACATGACTACATATATCGCCCGGTCCGGCTCGTACCCTCGAGCTCGACTCAGCTCCCGTGTGTAGCATGGCTCATGGAGCTCAATATCACATGTCACGGTGGTGGTAATGAAGTTACGGTTTTCTGAGTTGAGTCGAGACGAGTCGAGCCGGTGGATGGAGCATGCTGGGAAAAGAACGAGGGGAAATAGTATGAGATTTGGCTTAGCTTACGTTGTTACCGGAGAAGTGGTGGACACTGGTCTTGGAAAGCATGGAGTAGTCTGCAAAAACGAAAAACGAATTGTTAGCCATAATTCTTTGGGCGCATGGGTCATAAACCAGAAAAATAAATATAAGATGTTTCTTACATTCAAGCTCACTCTTGCGGAGGGGAGGAGTGTTGCCGGCAATGATGACGAGCTTGGCCTTGCCGGATCGGAGGGACTTGAGGGTAGACTTATAACCCAGAGTGACTATTCGAAAACCAATTAGTCTGAGCGCCCATCAAATCTGCAAATGAAGCAAGCGATCGAATCGATCGTCTTCACAATGAAATATTTCTCAATAGCAGGATATGCTCACCCTTGCCGGACTTCATCACAAGCGCAAGCCGCGAGTTGATGTTGTCGGTGCTCTTCTTAGCCTTCTTTGGTGCCATCGTAACGCGTTAGAAATGCCAGGAGGACTCTCTAAAGGTATGAAATTGAAACTGGTGGGTTTTCGCGCTCCGGCAGGAAATGGAGATTGGCGATAGAAGAGGTTGACGTTCGTATGTAGCTGGGTGAGTTTTAGCGAATTTTCGAATGGAATTTTTGTGTGGGCTGGAAAAAAACACGGACAAATATTTTTCCGATAGTGCAGTAATTAATCTGTTATGTAAGCGCTACCTTAATTTGTTTATTATGTTTGTTTTCAAAAGTAACACTACATACAAATTTTGGTGGGGCGGTACAGGGTTGATCGAGAGTATTTGATCGGGAAGGTTATTTGACTACGTTACATTCTCCAGGAACGAGAATATTATTTCTGTTTATCTAGGGCATTAAGTAGTCTCGATAACATATTGTCCAGCATGCTACTCTCCGAAGCTATGCTCTGCCGATATGCTTCCAGAATGCAATGCATCTTACGCATAGCATCCGCAAACTCAGCGCATCCGTCAAATGCTTCGAATAGTAATATATAGGGCCATACACGTAAATTTACGAAGAAGCTCAGGGGTGAAATCAGCGGCGACGCTCCCCAAGAAGCAAACTCTGAAAGGGTGCATGTCCTTATTTATCCTTAACTTCTGGATAATTGTTACTCTCTCCCAGGCCAATCTGGCCAATTTCTGACATTTTGCTGGGAATCTCCACTGTGAAATCTGTAGCAGTTGGAGTTTATTTTCCTTTAAAAGGTACGGATAAGTACTATCTATCGGAGCGGAGACACCATATTGCGAGCTGCCCATTGGAAAAACGTGCAAGATCTAAGCAGCTGTTTTATTGTCGCCTTTCAGAGTTGGACGTGCCCTGAAAGCAGGAAATTTGGCAGAGAAACATTCCTAGGTTGTAAAGGTTTAGGACTCGACATGGGTGGTTGGTGCCAAACCAATATAAAGTCTTTCAATCCTAGCTTCATAAATATCAAACTTTTGCCCAAATCAGTGGCGGCCAACAGGGCAACCTAACTCTTGCTGTTTCACAGTCTTGAATGACTAGATTAGGTTTTGTTTGGTCTTTGCTCCGTCGGCTCATTTGTTGCCAGCAACTTGGTGCCCGGGAATGGGCGTGCAAGCAAAACAGGATAGTGTCCTCCTCAACCCAGCACGCGAATATGTGAGTGACACGTCAAATGGGTTACTAAACATAACGGGAATGAAAAGAAGTCGAAGCTATTGCGCAAGTGATCAGATTCCTGGGCAGAAAACGTACACTTGATACATGAGAATGAGACGGAGTTGTTTGAAGGCGCAATCGTCAGTTGGCACTTAGTCCGCTGCTGGACACAGGCTGGCACAAAGGGCATATAAGCAGTGCGTGTTCGTTTCAGAAACTACAGGAAGAGAATATCAGCGTATAGAAAAGCCACCTGTATCCGTTATCCGTCCACGCTACCCTACCCAACCCGCTTTGCAACCTCGAATTTGATGCCCAAGACTTTTTATTTGGCCGGTCTTGGCGGCCGTTGCCCAGCCCGGTCTGAATCCACTATTCTCTTTAAAGACATCACGTGCTTAAACGCCAGACGAACCTCGGGGAGCGCAAACTGGCAACGACACGCTTTGTCCTATTTGGGAAGGGTTCCCTCCTGATTGGCCGATGCGGTATGGCTATTTCCCAAAATAGATTAGCGTGCCAAGCCCGAGGGTCCTTCGTTGGTTGCCCGGAAATTACGTCGTATTGTTCGTTTGGTCACGGCCGTACATCAAAAAGGCGGTTATTGCTTGGGGAGACCAGCCACGGATCGGAATGGCAGGCAGGTTCTCGGTATTTAATCCGTCTGTATTAAGTATCAGCTCTGTATCATCCCTTGATGAGGTCAACGCCTTGTCTCGAGACAACAACAACCAACTATTCCCCAATGTAAGACACCTTCATCATTGACTCTTATAACTGTTACTCTTGCTAGCCATTCATCAAGAGACTATTCTATCGTTACTGTCAATCTGTCCTCTACTTATTGTCAGCTGCCATCCTCGGGATAAATCAAAACGCAGTGGCCCTCTCACAGTCTCGATCGAGATCTCGCATTCATAGCCTATTCGTCGTTGTTACCTTTGACAGCGCCCCCCCCGACCATCTCAGCCTTTAAAAGACACAGTTTCGATCAAGGCTGCTTTGATTTCTTGTTGCAAACACATGTGTTAATACGAGTTGTTCACTTATATTTTCTCATACCGGCGCCATGTCCGGAACTACAAGAAAGGCCTCCCATGGGGGAGGTGGTCATAGAACGTCAACCACGGACTCTGCAGCAACTTCTCCAACCGCACGAATGCCCTCACATTCGACCCAGTCTTCTGTTAATGGTTTTGGACGATCCCCATCTTCAAGGCACTCCCCTGGCCCTGTCTCTGCTCGAGCAGCAGCCCGTAAACCCGGCGCGGGCCGGTCCAACCTCAGCATGAGCTCTGTACCCAGAACCTTCTCGAGTCCCTCAGACGACGATGCCAGAGCTCAAAACGCCGCTCTCATCGATGAACTGAAAGAGCAGGTTCAAAAAGCGGAAACTGTCTCTGACCAGTACCGGAAACAACTAGGCGTCCTGCAGCTGAGGCTTGATGAAGCGGTTAGCGAACAGGAGAGACTTGAAGAGCAGGCACATGAAAAGGACAGCGCATTAAGCGCGCTCCAGGGAGAGGTTAAAGAATTGACAAGGCAAATTCGTGATCTGGAGCAAGCTCATGAGACAGAACGGGTGGCCATGGCAAATGAAAAGGACCAACAAACAAAAAGGGAGGAGGATTTAGAGTCAACTATTCAGCGTCTGAAAGAAACCATTGCGCAGAAGGAATTTCGTATCAATGTGGAGAATGAGCGTAACGTCTCCAGATCGCGTAAGTTTCCCTTTAAAGCTGAACTAAGATGGCTTATGTGATTGTTGACCTGCCCCCTTTTTTATAGCGAGTTTTCGAAATAGAGCCTCGGCAGATCTCGAGAACGGGCAATTCGCGCCATCTTCCCAGCTCCAACGCAGCCCTTCCCGAAACAATTCAAAGCTAATTTTACAAAAGGATAAGCTCATTGAGTCTTTGAGACTCGAGTTAGCGGAAGCCCAGATAAAGCTTGTCGAAATGGAAAATCTAGGCGGTGGCCGCCAACATGACCTGGAGCGCGAACTTTTGGAAGCTAGAATGGCAAACGCTCGCCTGATGGAAGACAATGAGAGCTACCAGCTTCTTCTAAGTGAGAAAACATTGAATGGGGATTTCTCCAAGGGCGATTTCATGCATGAGAACAACCAAGAAAACCGACAGGCGAGCAGTGGGCTCGGGTCGCTCGCAGATGAGCTTGAATCGGTTGGCGAAGGCGGAGATGCTGACTCCCGTCGACGCCTCGAAACAGAGCTTAAATCCCTCAAAGATCAAAATAAGGCTTTGAGCCTCTATATTGAAAGGATCATAGGGCGTCTGCTCCAAACTGAGGGTTTCGAGCATATTTTGGACAAAAATGACACCAATCCGTCGGCCCTCGTGAACAAAACGGCCAATACCGATAAGGATCTACCTCCACCTCCCCCACCGTCAGACAAAGTGGAAAGTACCGGGACATCGTTTCTTCAAAGGGCGAAGTCCGTTGTGTCAGGTCAAGCTACCCGACCCAAGCCCAAACCGCGGACAATGAGTAATCTTACACAAAGCCCAATCCATGAACCCCAGCCCGAGGCCCATCCTACGGTCAATGAAAATCCGGACACTGCACCAAGTATCCCGCTACACCGTTCACGTACAATGCACCGGAGGACCCGATCGGATCAAGCAGATGGTACCGCTGCTGCTGTCGTAGGTCAGATGTACCGCGGTCCATCACCCAATGGCCCTCTGAGCCCTGGAATCAGCCCTACACTCTCCTCAGGGCAAGGATCGTTCTTCAATTCTAGCATCGCATCAAAACGAGCATCTGTCCCTGTCGGTTCCATCTCTAGCAGGGCGTACGATCGAGGATTGAACAGCACACCTAGCGTGTCAAGCGATCGCAGCGGTGAGGTAGGCTCAACTGAAGGCACATCCAGCCCTCAGCGCTCCAGCCCGGGCATGAATAACTATACCGGCGCAGTGATGACGCAGAATAAATTGCGACCTTTGCGCCTCGTCCAGGAGAACAAGGAGCTTGAAGGCGGGGACCAAGCTGACGAAGAAGCACGTAAGAAGGCGAATCGCGGAAGCTGGATTTCCTGGTTCAATCGCCCTGGGCAAACCGATCCTCCAAATGTCACGCCCACCTGATTCGACAACTTCAACCATTCTTTCATGTGTTATGGCTTTTTTCCCTCCTTCTTTTGGACAGCGTTATACCTGTTGGACTTACTACGGCCAATTTTTTTTTCCCTCATCTACAAGCCCTTGGGGATAATGTGCAAGTTTTACAGGTTCTCATTTACATGTATCAAAGTTCCTTTCCCAACTGCCTTGGCTCTTTTATTTACATTTAAACCTCACTTCACCATGTTGATATAATCTTTGGTAAACCTTAATTTTGATTTAATTTTCTTTTCTAGGAAGATATTGCAAGACCGCGGGCTACATGAATATACCAGTTAATATGCAGGGCGAATTGCATGCTCTAGTGTTGGCTAGAACTGATTGCAAGATAAGCCCACCCGCTTCTTACGTTTTATGTTTTATTTCCTTTTCTCTTCCCGTAATGAAATGGTTTTGCATTTTCGTGCTTTGATATATCTTTATTTATTTCGCCCACTTTTTCTGCGTTACAAATCCCATCTCTGGTCCATGAATTATTATTTACGATTGAACATATTTACTTCTTTTTGCTTATAAATGTCTAGGGCGGCGATAGCAAATTGTGTCTGGCTCTTGAAACTGATGTCGCGGTATCCTAATCCTGTACCTAACCCCTATTTCTGTTTATTATTCTCTTAGTATAGATATTAATACTGTTGTTACATCCATCTCCCCTACCTCCTATTGTGTCATATATATGTTTACTATGTTTTTACCGGTCTATTTTTGTTAGTAGACTTTACATTCGCTTTCTTTTGTGCCATGGGTTGTTGCTCAATGTTGGTGCCAGCTGAGGTCCTTGGTTTCATATTCCCGAAATATCTCTCTTTCACGCCTAGATATTCAGATTTAACAAGTAAGAAAAGACCAGCAGTGGTGCTATCTAATTATGAAATTTTATTTCTCGACTTCGTTCGAAAAGGGGGCGGATTGTATCACGTGATTTATAGACAGCTCACTCCGGCCAGCGACTGTGGCCTGTGGTCTTGAGCATTATTATTATCAATCCATCATAAACACCTCAACAGAAATTCCCACCAGAACCCTGCTTCACATACAACCCGCGCAGTCAAGATGCCGGTCCCAATATCCCTCTTCTCCGTCAATGCGATCCTTATAATGTCCACGGATGACTCCTCGAGGATTTTTGCGAAGTACTACTCCCCTCCACACCCTCCTGCCGGCACCGCGGCCAACTCGTTAGACTACCCTGGCGCAAACCCGTATCCCACGGTAAAGGACCAGAAAGCGTTTGAGAGTGGCCTGCTAGAGAAGACTGTCAAGCAAACGAGTGATATTATCCTGTATGACAATCGGGTCGTGGTGTTCAAGACGGAAGGCGACGTGATGCTCTACGTCGTTGGCGGGGCGGAGGAGAACGAAGTTCTGCTGTACAATGTTGTTCTTGCGCTGAGGGACTCATTGAATATTTTGCTACGGTATGTGGTGTGCAGATATTTTTCCTGCCTTGTGCATTGGACCGTTTAACATCAGATTGATCTTCTTTATTTGATTTTCTTCTGTTCGTTTCAAGCTGACGAGGTTGGCGTCCCTTTTCGCACAAATCCCATAGGTCCGGCGTCGACAAGCGCAGCATTATCGAAAACTATGACCTTGTTTCGCTAGCGGTGGATGAGATTGTCGACGACGGCATCTTCCTAGAGACCGATGCTGTACATATTGCCTCGCGTGTCAGCCGTGCTCCAGCGCAAGATGCCCCAAATATGAAGGGGATCGATTTGTCGGAACAAGGCCTGCTGAATGCTTGGGAGTTCGGCAAGAGGCGACTTGCGGAGCAGTTGAGGCATGGTTTGTGAAATGACGGGGGTTTCTAGTTTTTGTTGGATTCTGCCGGCTTTTATATTTTGTGCTGGCCCTTGTTTTGTCGGGGTATAGCTCTGGGCAATTGGCGTAAATGGGTGCTATTTCGTTTTCGTATGTGGTCTTTGAGCGAGGGATCTTTTATTTTCTTGCGGAATATTTATAGAATGGATTTCCCCCTAGGTTTGCATGTGCTTAATGTCTATATATCTCTTTCTTGTGGTTTACCAACCGAAGAGTCAGCGCATATTAACTAGACAAGTTATTATTGCATTTCCTTAGCTCCCCAGCTCATCCCAGGTGTTTGGATGCCATCCTATGCACACAGAGTATTAAAAGACCCGAATTCTCGTAAGATAACTGTTCGCGCAGTATTAAATCTCGAAGATTTATTGCCCCACCCTACGTCACTCCAAGTCGCCCCAAGCGCGTTTTCTTCCAAAGAGAAGTGTAACTTCCGGACAATACACCTCTTCTCACTACAGTCGCCCAGTCACCACTCTAGAACTAGGTGAAAATGAAGCAGCGATTCTCCTCTCTCGATGTTAAGGTTCGTCAATGCCGGTAGTTTTGTCTCCGCACTCTAACTTTGAGCAGGTCATATCACGGGAGCTCTCACAGGCTTTGGTTGGTCTTCGAATTTCAAACATCTACGACCTATCATCGGTAAGCAGTTCTATTCCCTCTCTGTGCACACGGCCAGACCTGGTTTACTGAGATATATTTCTCTCCTAGCGAATATACCTCTTCAAGCTAGCCAAGCCAGACACAAGAAAGCAACTCATCGTCGACACCGGCTTCAGATGCCATCTTACAGAGTACTCTCGCACAACTGCCGCCGCTCCCTCGCCGTTCATTGTTCGCTTACGCAAGTTCCTGAAAACAAGAAGGGTCACGGCCGTCACTCAAGTGGGCACGGATAGGATCATCGACATTGAGCTTAGCGATGGCAACTTCCATGTCCTCCTAGAGTTCTACGCAGGAGGAAATATTATCCTGACCGACAAGGAGTACAAGATCGTTGCACTCCACCGGATTGTGCCTGAAGGTAATGACCAGGAAGAGGTTAGAGTGGGCTTGCAATATGTTCTTACCAACAAGCAGAATTATAATGGGGTGCCGCCATTATCTATTGAGAGATTAAGAGAGACGTTAGAGCAGGCGAAGGATGTGGCGGGGTCTGGAGAGGGTGCGGGGAATACCAAGAGGGCGAAAAAGAAGCAGGCCGAAGCACTAAGACGAGCTGTCTCGTTGGGATTCCCTGAGTATCCGCCTCTGCTCCTTGAACATGTATTCCATATTACTGGTGTTGACCCGAGTTTAAAACCGGAGCAGGTACTGGGGGATAACGAGCTGGTGGAAAAGCTCATGTTGGCACTTGTGGAGGCAGAAAGCGTCAACTCAAGTCTTTCGACCGCAGATGACACTCCAGGTTATATTGTTTCGAAGACAGAAATTAAATCTGTGGAAGATAGCGAAGTGACTGCTACTGATCCATTCAAGTCGAAAAATCTCCAATATGTTGATTTTCATCCCTTCGAGCCGAAACAGTTTGAGAATCAAGCTGACATGGCAATTCTGAAGTTTGACACCTTCAACAAGGCTGTGGACGAGTACTTCTCATCAGTCGAATGTCAGAAGCTGGAATCGAGACTTACTGAGCGTGAAGAGATGGCCAAGAGAAAACTCGAAGCTGCACAGAAGGATCAGGAAAAGCGTGTTGGGGTGTTGAAGGAAGCTCGGGAACTTCACGTGCGCAAGGCGCAGGCGATCGAAGCCAATCTATTACGCGTTGAGGAGGCGATGAATGCAGTCAACGGGTTGATAGCGCAGGGTATGGACTGGGTAGAGATTGCTCGTTTGATAGAGATGGAACAGACTCGCCAAAATCCAGTAGCAAAGGTTATAAAATTACCGCTGAAATTGTACGAGAATACGGTTACGCTACTCTTGGGGGAGCCTACGGAAGATGAAGAACCGATGGATGAATCTGATGAGGAGGACGAAGATGAGGAAAGTAGTGAAGATGAGGAGAGCGAGAGGAAGCTGGGAGGTTCGAAGAAACCAGAGCAGCAACTACAGCAGCAGCTATTGTCTATTGATATTGATCTTGGGATCTCGCCCTGGGCTAATGCAAGACAGTACTATGAACAAAAGAAAGCTGCCGCCGTGAAGGAAGAAAAGACGCTAATGTCGGCGAAGAAGGCTATAAAGAGCACAGAAAAGAAGGTGACTGCGGATCTTAAGCAGGCCTTGAAACAGAATAAACCAGTGCTTCGGCCTGTGAGGACACCGTTCTGGTTTGAGAAGTTCATATATTTCATATCTTCTGATGGATATCTTGCCTTGGGGTTCGTCACCACTCATATCCTGCTGTGCCTGACTTATTTTGTCATACTAACTCAATGAGCAGCGGAAGAGACGCCCAGCAAACGGAAATCCTGTACCGACGACATTTGAAAAAGGGGGATGTATATGTACACGCTGATGTTCAAGGAGCTATTCCCTTCTTCGTCAAAAATAAACCTGACACCCCAGATGCTCCTATCCCACCAGGAACTCTTTCACAAGCCGGCAACCTTTGCGTAGCAACTTCAAGTGCATGGCATTCTAAAGCCGTGATGGGTGCGTGGTGGGTAAATGCAGACCAGGTCTCCAAAACTACGCCTTCAGGGGAATACCTGGAAACGGGTGGCTTTGTTATTCGCGGCGAGAAAAACCAGCTTCCCCCAGCTCAACTTCTTCTCGGGTTTGCTGTAATGTTTCAAATCAGTAGTGAGAGTATTAAAAATCATACGAAACATAGAGTGCAGGATGATTCGTCTACTACAACGGGTGTGAAGGAAACTCAGGGGATGGAGGAGTTGCCATCAAGACTCGACCAACAAACACCAAGAGAGTCTGAAAACAAGGAGACATATCATCAGCCTGAGCAGAATGATAGTTCGGATGAAGAGAACGGTGAAATTGAAGAGAATACGGACGATAAGCGAACAAATCCCTTCTTACATGAGAAGGCCGAATCGAGCGACTCCGACAGTGAAGATGGGGAGTCCAAAATTGGGGAAGATAGGCCCCAGGATGTCGATGCCAAAGATGAGAGAGAATATGATCACGCGGAGTCCAAAGCTGTGGAGGAGGCAGCATTGGGAGGAAAGGAAACATCGTCCCAGGAGGAACAGGCCGGTTCGGAGCCGCATACGGACTCTGCGGCGGCACGCCCTGCCAAACGCCTGTCTGCTACGGAAAATGGTCAATTGAAAAAGGGTGTCTCCATTGAACAAGCCTCCACGCCCCCTACCGATCCTGAGTCGCGCTTGACCCCAAACGAACCATCACGTTCCTCAACCCCAAACATCCGTGGAAAACGAGGTAAAAACAAAAAGATCGCCACCAAATACCAGCACCAAGACGAAGAGGACCGTGAGCTCGCGCTCCGCCTCCTGGGCTCTGCTCCTAAGCCAGATAAGCTTCGCGAAGCGGTGAAGAGGAAAGCAGATCGACAAGCCGAGCTTGAAGCCCAAAAGCAACGCCGTCGCGCACAGCACGATCGAGCCGTGCAGGCTGAGCGCGAACGACAAAAGACACTGCAGCAGCAGGCGGGGACACAAGGGGGTGGGGATGATGCCGATGGCGGTGATATACAACTCGATGATGCAGATACTGCTGCCGATCTTTCTTGTCTTCCTTCCCTGATTGGCACTGCTGTGGTAGGTGACGAAATCGTCGCGGCCATTCCTGTCTGTGCACCCTGGATGGCTCTAGGCCAATATAAGTACCGGGCAAAGTTGCAGCCAGGGCCTCTCAAGAAGGGAAAGGCTGTCAAGGAAATTTGTGGGAAGTGGGTTGTTGATGCGACTGCGGCTGTGAATGCTTTGGAAAAAGGGAAAGGGAGACGGAAATGGAAAGATGAGAGTGAGGTCGAGGTGGTTGAAGTAGATGCGAACAACGAACGGTTGGATGGGGAGGAGAGTGAAGGAGGTGATGGGGCCACTCATGGGCTTAAGCAGTTGGTCCAGATGGAGTTGGAGCTTATTAAGGGGTGGAGAGAAGCTGAAATTATGAATACTCTCCCTGTAGGCAAGGTCAAGATTGTTTCTGGTGGTAGCGGTGGCGGCGATAAGGTCGGGAAGGGGAAGGGTGGAGGGAAGGGTGGGAAGAGTGGGAAGGGTGGGAAGGGTAAAGGAGGTAAATAGTAAGAATGGGAATGTTTGGCTACGTCGAGAGATGGAAATATCTATGTGTATAATACTCCAGTATATACCAAGGGGCAAATTATCATTTGAATCCAAATATGAAAGATACGAAGGGCGTGGTCTAACTTAAATCAGCATGATAACGTGTATGGATGCTTGCACTGCACATGATCATGAACTACGTTGTTAGAGGTGCAAAACTGTAACCAAAAATCTATGTATTTGTTGTCTATCAACGTGGAGGAAAGAATACCAAGAGGAGATAAGACGGGGATGATGAAAAATATTTGCCCAATTTCATCCTCGAATCTCCTCCTCAGCCGCTTTTCGCAGCCGGTTCATAATCGCAGCTGCGAGATCGCCTTCAGTATCCGAAATGCCCTCAACATATATGATGGAAACATTCTTCTCATCTAAACCGCGTAGGGCAGAAAATAAACCCCGTGCAATAGAATCTGTGTCTGGGCCGATATAGATATCGAATAGCTCGATTGGAGTGCCTAAGTTGAGCTCTATAGACGGGAGGAGTCGAAGGCAAGTTGATTGGTAGCCAGTTACGTGTGAAGAGGAATTGAATGGATTCGTTGGGGTATTGGAAATACTCGGTGTTTCGGAACCAGCTGCGCCAATGCTGACACTACAATCATTACCCCGGATGCCCAATCCCTTCTTCCAGCACTTGGTCCTGACAATCCCCACACGAGGAATGTCAGGCTTGGCTTTATCCCCGTTCTGTCCCTTATGGCAAGTAAGCCCTACTAGATCCCTGAGCAGCCTGCTTTTAACAGCTTCAAGGTCTCGACCTGCTTCAAATAGAACAACCTTGGCCTTTGGTGAATAATGTTTATATTTCATCCCGGGAGCGCGCGGGACCTCTTTACCCTGCAATGCGCCATCTTTATACCCAATTCGAACTTCCTCCCAACCGGGACAGGCACGTATCTCTTCAATACCAATTCCTCCCGGCCGGAGTACGGCGGGTGGATATAGTAGCCCGTCAACCACAGTGCTTTCCACCCCAACGCCAGAGGGTCCTCCGTCTAAGATCATATCAATACGCCCTTGTAGATCGGTATATACATGTTGAGCGGTGGTGGGGGATGGCTTGGTTGACGCATTTGCGGACGGAGCGGCAAGCGGCCTATCGGCGAGATATATGAGGAGCCGCGCAAGTGGAGAAGATGGCATTCGAACACCAAATGTAGGAAGCGTAGATGTGACCTCTGGTGCGAGTGGGGAAGGTGTTGGGTTCGGTAGGATGATGGTCAACGGGCCAGGCCAGAATCTACTTATCAGAGGCTCGTATATTAGGGGAATGAGATTCGTTTCTCCTCCTTGTTGAGATCGCTTCGTTCCCGAGTCGGATTTGCCATCACGCAAACTATCCGATGGCGATAGAAGGAGACGTAATTGTTCTCTTGAGCTCACATGGACGATGAGGGGATTGTCCGACGGTCTCTGCTTTGCTTTGTAGATGCCCTGAACGGCAGCGCTCCGGGTCGCATCTGCGCCTAACCCGTAAACAGTTTCTGTAGGGAACGCCACTGGTATATCGCTCGTGCGCAGTGCTTCTGCCGCCTCAAGCAAAACTTTGGCCTCCGGATTCCCTCGCTCATTTTCTGCTGTCCACTTTTCGACCAGCGTCTTCGTCGTGTCCTGGATTGAAAAATTCAAGCTGTGCACGGGAAAGACTCTAGTTATCCTCTCTCCTGCCTTTCCGTTGGTTTCTCTAGGGGCCTTCCCCAGCAGACCATTCCGAGCTGTCATGGCTTGGGGAACTTTTTGCGCAGTCGGGAGGCGGAGAGCGGGGAAGAGGCGATTCAGATTTATTAATGCCGTTTTAGCGGCTGGACGGTTAGCTGTCCCTTTCTCCTCCACAAGCGCGGCAACCTGTATTATATGATAGAAGTCCCCTTGGGTATCTGGTGGTCGGAATCGAAACTAAAAATACGCAGCCCGGTTAAATAATGCCTGCGCGATAAGTTTACTTGTAGTGGAGTCACAACAGGCTGGATCAAGGCGCATAGACGGGGTTCAATACGTACACTCTCAGTCGATAGAGTGGAATATGTATCATCTCAGTGAGACTTGAGAATATTTTAAAAATCAATAAATGTCATAGACAGGGACTCATTAGGGTAGCGTTGGGTATCTGTGGTTGAATTTCTGGACGTGAGATTTTGGCTGATTAACAATTTATTCTTTTTTAGTTTTTTACTTCTTTATTTCTTTTTTGATGACGTCGGGATGCCGAGGCACAACAATAAAGTCACAGACGACTCTTACAAGAACCAACAGTGAGCGCTCTTATACATCTACGTGGTTATATAAAATAATTAGCTCGTATTACTCGTTGTGCAGTCAATGATTCAAGTACAATATCTATAGACGGCGTCAACACTAGGTATATATCACTTCTCAAGATAGCTGACTGGTCAACTTATGAGGGCATAAAAAATGTAAATGCACTTCGTGAAAAAGACCTGCTGTCACTATTACATGGTGTCCCTAAGTAAACACATAGCATTCGCTTCGGGCATATTATTGCTAGTACAGAAGAAGCGAACCAAAACGAACGAGGCTACAAGGGGGACGAACAGGATCTGAGCCGTAAACTGCTGTCGCAAAGGCCACTGTGCTCACTCGACCGAGATGAATAGATGTGAAACTCTACTGAAATATAAAAAGCTCGGTCATTAATGGATGAATCTCCATCAACACTCTCTCGTTTGCATCGCCATCGAAATTAGCCGCAAAGGGGAATCATTCGTCTCAGACATCGAAGGATTCGTAAACAACAGCCGCAGACGGTAGGGGATAGAATGTCAGGATAATGGCTCTTTTCACCGCTCGAAATGCCCATTGATCGACCAACATGCGATAAAACAGGATATTTAGCCCATTATTCTTCAATCGAAACATTCTCAAGCTTGTAAACTTCGTAACCGGGTTCTTCGTACGGATGAGCCTTGACCAGCGCCTTTACAGCTTCCTGCATCGTGGTTCGACCCATGCACAAGACCTCCACCCGCATTTCTTCAACAAACTCCAGAGCACCGACTTTACCGATGTTCGGATTTGCATCCCCTCCAGGGAGGAACTGGCCGGTGCCTGGGGACTGGAAGCAGACTCTGGTGTATTTCCCCTGCGGGTACTGGCCAGCGCCGGCGTCGAATACGGCGTCTTTGCAGGCCTCCACATGAGATAACGGGGCGAAGAAGACGAGCTTAAAGCGGTCTTGGTCCATGAGGGGCGAGGAAACGTAGGACCTGATTAGGGAAGATTGAACTGAGTGTGGGGGAGAAAGTAGCGAGCGACAGATTAGTGCTGAGATCCTGGTTGTGTGCCCGATAGAAGTGAAGAGCATTCCTTTCCTTCTACGCCCCCTCTTTCACTTCTCGCCTTGCCGATATAGTAGCAGAGAAATATAGGATTGTATCGTGGTTGTTATAAGTTTTGTTGTGATACCAAGCTTGTTTTTGTTCTGGGGATGACATAAGACAGCATTGCGCCGCTTCTTATTGGCCAGCGGAACTTCAAACATCATCTCCGTCCAGTTTGCTTTCGACTATCAAAGACCTGATTCCGACCTCCAGCTGCCAGCCATTGCCATTTCAGCCTTCAATTCTTAGGGTGCTGCTTGATACCAGGCCTTGTCGCCCCTAATTCTACCATCAATGACATCCAAATTGGTCCCCTTTTCTTTGCGGCAGGGCCGCTTCGCTCTCTCCCGCTTCCCAGTCCGGCAATGTCGCCCGTTCACTGTTGCGGCGCCCCTCCGGAGCGAGATTTTCGCAGTCGTATGTCCACTAACCTATATATGTGGCTATTACAAGACTTATGCTAATATATAACTGGCTACACTAGCACCGAAACACTCCCGAAAACAACCCTAACATCCCCTTCAAATTCTCAGAAGAGAACCTCAAGCTTATCGATGAGATCCTCCTGAGGTATCCTCCACAATATAAGAAGGCAGCTGTCATGCCACTTCTAGACCTGGGTCAACGGCAGCATGGCTACACTAGCATCAGTGTTATGAACGAAGTAGCGCGCATGCTGGAGATGCCCCCAATGAGAGTGTACGAAGTTGCGACATTCTACACAATGTACAACCGGGAACCCGTGGGGAAATACCATGTAAAGGTTTGCACAACGGTACGTTTTAGCTGCCTAGCTAGCCATACAATTATTTACCGTATCCGAAGAGCTCCCCCTAAAATGACACCTTACTAACCTGGCATGATTTTTCTCCTTTCCTTAGACACCATGTCAACTAGGCGGTTGCGGCAGCGACAAAATCATGAAAGCCGTCACAGACCACCTCGGAGTCTCCAATGGCCAAACAACCCCAGACAAACTATACACCGTTCTTGAAGTCGAATGTTTGGGCGCCTGCGTGAACGCACCTGTGGTACAAATCAACGACGACTACTACGAGGACCTCACTCCAGAATCCGTAGTGAGTCTCCTAGATGCTTTTAAGGAATCGGAAACGAACAAATCCGTCAAGATTCCTCCACCCGGCCCGCTCAGTGAACGAAACACGTGTGAGAATAGCGCCGGTTTGACCAATTTGACGAATCCATCGTGGAGTCCGGAGCTGATGAGGACAGACGGGGAACTGTAAGAATTTAAATGTACACACAAATATAGAAATTTAATGGAAAAGGGATTTTCAAACAGACGAAGAATCGGAAATTTTATCTTCCGATTGATCTGCGTACGTTTCATTTAAAATTTCGCTGTATTTTCACTAGGATGTCTGTTCAATGCTTAACTTCTGGGTGCATTTGCTAACGTTTCAATTTTCCTTTCCTTTCCATCCTAAAGTATGTCTTAATTCCGCAGAACTCAATGTGGAATAACCAGATGCCTTTGAGGTCGGATATTTATTATCCCTGCAATCGTCATAACCACGAGCTGATTTGCGTACTAAAGAACTACCATATTAGTTATTAATTCCTAGCTCGCCGGGCGGTACTGTTTCACGTACATGTACATATTTTAAATACGCGCTCATTTTTATCCATAACTCCAACCTATCCTTCACTAACGAACAACTATAAGAACAAGATACGAAACCTCACAAAAGACACACATGAAACACTGCAAAAAGGCAATAGCGACGGGCTGTTTCAGAAAATAACTGTTCCTTCGCCTCATCGCAAACTAAGAAAAATCGCATTTGAAAAATAGTACTCCACCACCCAACCTTGGAAAGAATAAAGCTACGCACAACCCCCAAAATCAGATATCAGCAGCATTGCTACCATCCAATGAGCTGCCTCTCCATCCAAGCTCATCCGTAGGCAATAAAACTTCGCTACCTGACACAGAGAGAAACCCCCTATCTCTTTTCACCAAACGCTCCTGCCGACGCTGTTCAAAAATGTTTACCTCAATCGTCTTTAGAGCTAGGAAGTGATATATGTGCACATGCTTTTGTTGACCGTAGCGTCGAGACCGTCCAATCGCCTGTGCCATTCCCGAATTGTAATCGTACTGTGACTTAGCGAATAAAGGGTGAAAGAAGATGACGTGGTTTGCGTTTTGAAGGTTCCTGTGACATTTGTTAGGATTTAAAACACTGAGAAATGATATGAATTCAACATATGTCCTGTTTAAAGGAGTGGTAATGGAGACAGGGCGTTAATATCTGACAAACTTACAATCCGGATGCCGAAACATCTCCCAGATGCAAGATGAGAACCTTGCTCTTCACTTTTTCAGTGCCAGTCTGGAATTGTGCTATCTTAGAAGAGGCCATGCGATCAGTGGCGGGGATCATTAGATGAGGAATGTTTGCTTGCTGCAGCGCAGCAGAAGCGGATTCCATGAGATCTGAAAACTGTATGAAAAGTAACACCTGTTCGTCTTCTGCGATACGGTCGGTATCTTGTATAAGTCGAATCAACTCTAATAATTTTGTTCCGCGGTACCCTTGCCATTTTTCGTCACTGGCATTGTTATCGGTGTCATTGTCAATGTCTTTGTTGCTGATGGAAATGTCAGAATACTTGATCATCCGGAAACTTTGTGCTCCGCCGCTGCACGCTGGAAGGCGACAAGATTCCTCAACTTTCGCAATCTCAATACACGATTCGCAGCAGGCATGCCCACATTCACCCAATATAGTGAGTGAATTTGGGCATGCGAGTCGTCTGAAACATGAGGAGCAAGCAAACACATCCTCGAGCTGTCGTTCCTGCAATGACCGCACGACAACGAAAAGCCTCGCAGCCCTTACACGAACCAGGGCTTCTTCAAGCAGTCTGCGCAAGCTATCAGTGCAAGCGTTCAGGTCGCTGATAAATTCGGATTGCGTCGTTGGATATTCAAGGCGAATGTCAGACGGCTTTTGTTTTTTCTACGCATTATATCAGCACGAAACGTATCTCAGTTTATCAACATTGGTGTTGTATACCTCCTGAGTTGTTAAATAGTAGCACTGCCCATCTTTAGGGGTATATGCTGTGCGCGCGGCAGTAATTGCATTGCGGAAACACGAGGTAACCCCCAGGTCACCAGCCCCATTTCTCTCTAAATGTTTTATTAGCGTATCGAAATGTGTTGTCGTTTCAATTTTAGATTGTAACCAAAACGCATGCCTGAGCTTTTCAATTATATCTAGTGCAAGAGCATAGAACTGTGTATCCCTTGCGAATAGGGCGTTTTCCTCGCCCGAGCAAACAGATGTGGCATCTGTTTCACATGTCACTGAATCCCTTCCGTCGTCACTTTCAAAAATGCTGCTTGCGCTTGACGGAGTGCTACCATCGTCCGTTTTGACGCTCTCTGTTTTATCAATCAATCGTTTACCCATTATCTTTTCAAGGGGTACAAAGTAAGAGGAACATTTTATCAGAGCTTCTTCAGGTCCACTGCTATTTCCAAGTATAGCGTCATTGCGGGACATTGCAGAAGAGTCATATAGACCTCTTCCGTTTCTACGAAGCTTTAGATTCTGCGACATTAACTGCATGAACAGCTCAAGGTAGGCCGCTCGTTCTCGGGGAGCCAAAATAACGGGACAGATATGTTCTGTCCAGGGTATTTCATCGATACCAGGGATATTCTAGGGAAGTCAGAAGTCATTTTTAGCGGCAACTTTACAATATAATGCCACAGGGGCAATTACCTTCCGCATAAATTGATCAAGAAACCCCTGGGCTACATTATGTCGTCTTCGATGCCACGCTGCACTATGCCGGGTAACAAAAGGTTGAAATTGCTCAGCATCTGTTCAGTTAGCACATGCGTGAAGCAGTCACAATGTCAAGTGCTTTGAGAAAATACCTGTCTGATCCCGTTGAATGGTTCTCAGTCTTTCATTTTCCGTTTCCCGGCCTTCTTCGTCATCTACTCCTAGAGTGATTCCGAGAAAGGGAGAGAATGACTTTACGTCGGCAAAGTCGTTAAGGGGCGGTGTTCCAGATAGGATCCATTTGCTGCGAGCAGGAATTGCAAGCACTGATGAGTAGTTTCGATCCTTCGAGTACGTAAACTCATCAATCACAATACGGCTGTATTCAAACATGTGAATCAATGGAGAACGCATTCTCTTCCAATCGCCGTCGCACTTCAAAAGCTGAAAAACGTTGTCGGACTGGCTAGAGAGCTCTTCAGTTGCTAAATTTGATTTTCCTTTCGGCTTCTTTGCTCGGGGACCCTTGGCGGTACATTCATCTTCCTTATAGTCCTCCATTATTTTCCTCTTTGCCTTCTGCAGTTTCGCTGGGGTATTGTTGAGTCTCGGTTCTGAGTGGCTATCTAATTTATCAGCGGTCACGTCATCGCCATCAATCTTTCGCATTTGTTCCTGGAGTTTCAATAGATGATCTTGGAACTTTTGACCCTTTAACCGCCTCGAGGGTTGGAATTTTGAGTATATTCCACTGTTCTTAAGATTAGTTCGCTTCCGGATCATGTTCTGGAGTACCACTTCAGGCCCTTCCGTCACCAGAAGATCAACATGATCCCTAACAGCATCCATCGTGTCATTCAGCCATTCATCAAAGATCCTACCATCCCCCTTGGGTACGGCAGACGAGGCCGCAAAAAGCTCCATCCTATCATAGTAGCTCGCTCCACGAACCACGGAAGTTGACAGTAACACAATATCAGCCATTCCAAATCGGCGAATAGTTAGTGATCGAAGCGAAGCAATCGATTTGATTTCCAAAACATTATACTTCTTGCCCAAAAATTTGGTAATTTCACGAGACCATTGGTCCATCAAATGCTGGGGTGCGACAATCAAAGTAGCTTTGATGGGAATCGCCCGTTTCACAGAGCTAGGCACATTTTTTGAATTTTTGGTGAATTGAGAGTCGATTAAACCAAGAGTTATCGCAGTTTTTCCATATCCAACATCATCACCCAAAATACCCCCACGCACAAGGTGTTTAACCGTAGCTTTTGCTTCAGCTCTCCAATTTACAGCTGGCAGCATAGCTTCCACGACTTCCTCCTCTTGAAAAGGTTGAGCAATATCCTCCTGTTCCCTCATCCAGGTAAGTGATCGCAGTTGTTCCGGGCGGAGATTAAAGAACTTGAATCCGGGAGGTTGTGTTGATTCAGTGTCGGCTTTGTTGTTTTTCTCCTTCAACGTGGGTAATCGTTGGCGAAGAAAACCGACGTTATCAATGCAGAGCCGCCATTGTAGAGACACTTCATCCCATTTGGCAAGCTTCCCCCTTGCTTGATGGGCAAGAGTTATCACATTCAAACATAATTTGACCTGTAGAACAGAATCATGGCTAAGCCTAGTAAACCCAAGAAATGCTGCAGGTCGCTTCTTTATACTTTGCTCGTAAACGGCAGCATCCTTTGGGTCTTCGTAGGCATAGATGCGGTCTTTATCGTCCAAGGCCCATACTAGTCGAGGTTTTCGAGGCGCGCAAATACCACACACTTTGCTGTATTCTTCACCACCCAAACATATACTATTCCATTCGCTAAATTGGTCCACTGAGCTAGCTCGCTGTAACAACCATGCAAGATTCCTGAGAGCTGTTGGCGATTCCATCAGATTTGAGACCCTCCATGTGCCAGGCTCCCAAGCCAATTCTGCACCGCTTGCAGGAATTGACGATATCAGCATGGGAATGTAAAATCCAAGACACTTGGATCCAATATTTCTAACAATTGCCTGAGGAGTTGGCGTCTGGTAGATAGGAGGCGGTGAAGAGTAAACACCAAGAGATATCGCGTCATCTGACGCAGTCTTTTTGAACCAGCAATGAGCGGACTTGGGTTCCTTAGAAATCGTACGTGGATCCCAATTTGGGTGCACCTCAGCTATTGTGATACGCGGCTCGCCGATATCCAGGCGACTGTGGTCAAGTGCAAAAACCCAAGAATCAAATTCTGTAGGGCCAATTTCTGTTGGGTCCAGGAAAAAGTAAACAGGCGGTTCACAGCCAGATACCATCTTCTTATGCAAGCTTCCACTTGCAGCACCGCAATCCTGCAGAAGCTCGTACTCTCCGCGAATATCGAACTCCAAATTTTCAACCGCAGCATCAGTTGAAGATATATTAATCTGGCTCCATACCTTAGCACCAGCAAAATGCGAGTGCTTTAAACCAGCTCTCGAGCCGGTAGAAGGAAGAAGATCTCCGCTCCCAGCAATAGCAATGTCAAAATATGAACTAATTGGGGACTTGATATGCCAAATTCCTTTCAAAATATTCTCGCCAGATGGAGTCATGAAAGCGATGGGACATCGTAAAATTTGTCGAAGTGGAGAGTTGCTTGGTTCATCTTTTGGGGGGGCAAGGTAAAAGAACCATTGCAACGTTCCGGGCGAGCAGACAAATTTTAATACAGATAGGGAGCCTTTATATGTTATCGTCCAGGATCTTTGGCGAGTCACACCCTGAAATCGCAGTTCATCCCCTAATGCTAGAAGCAGTACCCTGGAAAAGTCCTCCCATGCCTTCATAATATCAACTGGCATATTATTTTCCATTAGTGCTCGGTACAGAGCAAGGGAGAGCCCGTTAATTTGGAGTCTCATTGGAAGCCTTTTCTTGAGCTGGGTTTCGAAATCGATAGGGCAACGCCGCGCGTTTAACTCGTCCCTAGGAACTGGGGAGTATACATGCAAAGGATTGCGGCCACACGATCTACATGCAGTAAGCCCGCATTTCAGGCACGTCACCATGTCCGTTCTTTTCATCAATAATTGACCTTCGCAGATACACATCCTCAAACTTCGCTTTCCAACTTCGAGAATTTCATGTGTAGAGAGCGCGATTTCGTCGCCCAATTGAATAGGGGCCACCTCTATGGTTAGATTGTCATCCATATGTGTTGTACAGCATTTTTCCTTTTTGGAGTTACTTTGGAAAGTTGTGCCAGAGGGGAGAGCTTGGTGTCCGATAATCAAAGCACTCATAATCGCTGCCCCCACCACAGTTGAACTCATCGCGTTACCTGCAAGATCGTTGAGATCCCTTTGACTGTCATTACTTAGTAATAACCTATCGATAGGAATTCCCTGCAAAGCCAACGCCTCAATACCTAAAAGAGGACCACCCCGTGATGTGACAAAGTGCTGACCCCGGGGAGTCAAACAACCAGATATACCGGATGCGCGTTGGTCCAGCTCCCTATCGAGTCCCTGAGAAAGGTCGATAATCCGACTATCGGCATGTTAGAATATATATGAACGTGGAAAATACAAAACCACTTACGATTTGAAGTTGATATCAAAACCTCTGACGATGCTCCGCAAATAGTTGACATCAAGGGTATCCCAAACACGTTCTGTCTGCGCCCTGCTCCATGCGTGCCAATAAAAGTCAGGCATTTGACAGGTGCCGTTATCCTGCCAACGAGTAAGAGGCCTTTTATCCCCGAGGCCTTCCCTCATTCTATACCGAAGGTGACGCGCCTTATATCGAGTCCAGTCAACAGCTTGGCGGTCTTTAATTGGGTTGGTGGATATATCATTGATAGCATCCTGCAAACGAGGGTCCTCGTTTTTGAGTAAAAATTGGGCAACAGGCGAACTTGCTGGGCGCTCAAAGTTTTTCATCATCTTCGCAAATGTAGATGATTTGGGGTCTGCAGGAAGTGGGGTCTCTAGTCTGGTTTGGTCGATACAAAGCATATAACCTCTCTCACGCGTTTGTGGCAGGTAATAGTTCTTGGTGTCTACTTTAATGTGATACGCGTGGTAATCCATTTCTTTGAAAGCATTCTTTATATGACCCCACGGAGCGCCGCAGACGTTCTCCAAGATCACCAAAGGTGGCCTGCAACGCTGAGTGTATCGCAAGACGCCGTAGAATGTATGGCCTGATTCTCCCATTTCGTCAAGAGTCTTACGATGGAGATTCATATTCGAAAAATCCACGCAGGAGAAGCCAACAACAAGTAGATCCAAATTTGAAGGCACTTTCCGGAGGGAACCAAATGCTGTAGTTCTGCGGATCACGTTAGTATACTACTTTCTTTTCGGGAGGATAATAGCTTACGCTTCATCAGCAATTAGCTCATTGACGTCTCGGAAAATTATATCAGGGGAGAAATTCCGCTGGATGTAAGACTGCTTGAAAGGATCTATCTCCGCACTGAATAAATGGTGCATGCTGAACGTCTTTCCAAAAATCTTTTTGAAACCTATAATTGCATATTAACAAGAGTAAATAAAGGAATATACGGGTCACATACTAGCTATCGCCATCTCCAAAGCAAGAAGTGGCGCTTCAGTGCCAGAACACATGGTCGCGACGCGTAAATCTCGTGAACCAATGTGGTCGAGAAAGTCACTAAACCCATTCTTTTCAGCATTGATTGAGATATCATCAAAAATATCCTCAATTTTGCTAATTGGGGGGAGGTTGAAGTTCAATCCAGGCTTGGGTCTCTTGCCAGGGGCTGAAGAGTATTTGCCTCGCAGGATTTCTGGAGGGAGATTTATCAGACTTTTCAAATCGTCTTCCCCGGATATATTGGCGTCGTCGCTACCAGCATCTTCTGACATGGAAGTGTCAGTCCCCAAGTCGGTATTGGGAGAAGTACAAGTATCAGTATCGACATTGGAGTCAACGGAGCGTCCTTCAACACTTGAATCAGTTAGATCCTCGTCCATGATAAATGCCTGGGCTGTCTCGAGGAGATATAACAGCGCCTCCTCCTGTTTCGCCATTCTGAGGCAGAAGCCTAGGTAGTGGCCTTATCCAGAAAGTAATTAGAAAAGTATTCCGTCCTAGGGCATGGCCATTCCGATTTTTCTAGGCCAAGGAGGAACCAGCATGAGAATGCGTAAATTTCTCCAATATTCTAGTGAATTATGAAGGGAAGATGTTTAAGCAACATAGAACAAGAGAATGAAAGCCAGTGAGTTCATATGACAGGTTTGTTTGCCGCCTATTCATGGGAAAAAGAAAAATATGTTTGTTGTTGACAGGTCAGGGGTTGAACAAGCAACAAGGGCAGTTTCAACGCACTGAACAATGTTGCATTCCTTATATCCAGGGCTTCATTTAAAGCCATTATTCAAGAATATTCCACAGGCTTCTTGCGAAATTAATCTACAAAATTTGAATATCGCTAAATTGCTGGCTTGGTGAGGCTGGGTAGACTGCTTGATAGGCCGGCCCCAGCGCAAATTGATATCCATTATATAGAAATGCAACCGCAATGCAACCGCAATGCATTTTTGGGACAATGATGTTCTAGTGAACAGCAGTGTTAAGAAAAATTAAACTGCTTGAATGAGGTAAACCCGTGAAACGGGTAAACATGTCTCAACCAGGAGGCTGGATATTCATCTCTCTCCCAACTACCCAATTGGAAGGCGAATAAGCCATGGCCTCAAAAATAAAGGCATTTATACCTGAGAAATTGCAGACAAAGATTATGAAAATTAGTCCCTAAAGACTAACAGATGGTATATCCAAGAAGGAAATTCCGACATATCTAATATCTCGAGATAAGGTCAAGGCAATCGATCATGGATCTATAATTGAATGCTGATGGCAGGAAAACAGTATATAGAGGCAACCAGCCGGTCTCTTTTTCCCGAGACCAGCAAAACAAGTCAAGAAATTTTGGCCCATAGTTAACGAATATAGACTAAAGGGCACGTTTCGGATGAAAAGAGACAATTAGTCGAATAGCGCAACAACGCCGTCGAACTCAACAGGAATGTCCCAATGATAATGCATAAAATTGTGTAACAATCAAGGGGAAGTTCAAATGTCAAATTAACTTTCCCTAGAAGCGCGATCCTCCTGCAAAGGCATAGAATGTTTAAAGGGGATTAGAGCTTGTTCGTAAGCTTGCTATTTGTTATAGGAAGGGAAATTCAGGGTTGCATCAAAGATAGATAGGGACATAATACGCAGTAGTTGACTTCAGTTATATCCACTGGCCATTGGAGGACACGAGTTGGATTCATGCGGAGTGGAATCTGGACGTCGACTGCAGAAATCAATCTTGGCGATACTTTTTGGTTGCGACAGAATTTTAGCGCCTGCCGCGCGCCTATCAATTACAAGCATCACGGAACATGTATACGCCAACTACACTCCTACGTTCCACAAATGCGACTCGATAGGCGTATGTTCACAAAGAGGTCATTTACAAAAACGTGCGGAAGTAATTTCTTGCTATCAAATTTGTATAAAATGACAGAACGCCGTTTAGAGAAAAGTGTATCTTGCCCTAATTTTGCCCTTATGACCAGTACCAGTAACAGCATAGCAAAAGAAAAACGTGCAAAGTCATAAAAATAAATATTAAAAGTACCACCGCCATTGCGCCAAATCCCCGTATCATCCACTATAAGCATAAGTTTTCAGCTTGACGAGACACTGTAAACAGGTATGCGATGCATGGAACACAATCCATAACTATCGCATCCCTCCTTGCATTAACTGCTGCCTCAGTAACATTATCTGGCTACGCTCCGTTGGTGGCAGCGCATCTATCGCAGATTGTGGCATGCTCAATACCTGTTGTAGCAGCTCGTCATGGCTAGGGATCTGTGATGGGGCGGGCTGTTGCTGTGGTAGGGGTTGAGATTGAGGAGGCATTTGAGGTGGCGCGAAAGGAGTATGTTGTACAGGGGGCGTAGATATTTGACCAGGGATCGGTGGATATGGTTGGAACTGTTGAGGCATCTGAGGTGTCGCTTGTGGCGGAGGCTGTTGAGGCTGTGACGCTTGCTCAACGACAGAGCCAAGGACGCTGTAATCAACAAGATTCATGAGTAACAGCGCTTGGAATATGGCATAGGCAAGATGGGGGGCTTGTCTCAATAGCTCCGTTGCGCGAGCTGGGTCTGCCATCACCAGTGACTTCATCTGCGTAATAACGTCGAGAAGTTGAGGAGCGGGGAGGGAAGCGAGAGTTTGTGATATCGCGTTAGGGCAAGTGAGGTTTGGCGGAAGTTCTGTTCCTGGAGGTAATGGTGGCAGTACAGGTGCCTGCGACTGGTCTTGTCCCTGCATCCCCTGCATCATACCCATCTGAGATTGTTGGGGGTAGTCAGGCGGTACGGAGTCTTTCTCATTGTTATGTGGCCAATCCACTCTTATCTTGCGACCCATAATTTCATAATCATTCAGATTTCGTACGGCAGAAGCAGCAGCGTCTGCGTCCGCAAAGTCGGCAAATCCATATCCCTTTGGTTTTCCGGTTTCGGGGTTTATCATCAACCGGAATTTCGTAACAGTGCCCGCGGAGCTGAGAATGTCTTTCACCTGCTCTTCCGTAAGATCTGCAACGATTGTAAGCCAAGCTACCACTGTAATACTATGTGTGCAATGGGCTAAATAAAAAATGACTTACTGTAGGGGATATTCCCAAGGAAAACGCTTTTACCGAAGCGCTCTGGAGGCATTTCCAAAGTCGCACCCCTTTAGGCGCTTGCTTAAAGGGCCGTAGCAGCAAAAGTCAACGATATAATTCTCCGCGACAGTAGTGAATACCAGCTCTGAATACTCAGTTCGGTTGACGGTGTTTTAGTCGTGTGCTGTAAAATACAAGGCCCATCGAAAGCTGGAACGTACTGCGATTGAGGCGTCGTAGAACCATTGGGAAACCCAATCTCACACCTTCCCTAATAAAGTTTAGCGGCATTAAACCCGAACTTTTGATCTCAATCCGCGAGACCAGCTTTCGATGTCAGTCAGTCAACCAGTCCGAACCAGCTGGAATTCCTTTTCCAATTCTTCTTTTTGGCATCATCATGGCTGGAGATCCTCGTGAGACGTGGGCTAGGTTGCAGCAGTCCCTGCAGCAGCAGCGGGCAAAAGGCGGATTTGGTGGAGGCTTTCCGGGTGGCAGCCCCAAGAAAGCTTTCGGATCAGCTGGAGCATTGATTGCGGTTGGATTGGGAGCATATGTTTTCATGAATTCCCTGTTCAACGGTAAGTCATCAGATTTGCTCTTTGCAGAGAAAAATCAAGTTTAACTAACCCTATTCTCCGTTTTCCTAGTTGACGGTGGTCATCGAGCAATCAAGTACACGAGAATAAGCGGCGTGAAGAAGGAAATCTACAATGAAGGTGGGTTTTGATTCATCCAATTTTGTACCTAGGAGTTTCTCTCTAAAACTTATTTGAATAAAGGAACCCATCTCCGGATCCCATGGTTCGAAACTCCTATCATCTACGACGTTCGCGCGAAGCCAAGAAATGTTGCCTCCCTCACAGGAACCAAGGACTTACAGATGGTGAACATCACCTGCCGTGTCCTTTCCCGCCCAAGAGTCGAGGCTTTACCGCAGATATATCGTACTTTAGGAACCGATTTTGATGAAAGGGTTCTTCCATCCATCGTCAATGAGGTTCTGAAGGCTGTGGTGGCTCAATTCAACGCCAGTCAACTTATCACTCAGCGAGAGAACGTCGCTCGTCTTGTCCGTGATAACCTATCTAGACGTGCTGCTCGTTTCAACATCGTTCTTGATGATGTTTCCCTAACGGTATGAAAGAGAAATGTTTCCTCCTGCGGCTTCGTGTCGTTTCTGTTTGGCTTTTCATCAATAACTAACTATATTATTTCCTCAACAACAGCATCTTGCATTCTCACCCGAATTCACTGCAGCTGTTGAAGCCAAACAAGTTGCTCAACAGGAAGCCCAGCGAGCCGCGTTCGTCGTCGACAAAGCCCGTCAAGAAAAGCAAGCAACCGTTGTGCGAGCACAGGGTGAGGCCCGTTCTGCCCAGTTGATTGGAGACGCCATCAAAAAGAGCAAGAGTTACATCGAGCTGCGGAAACTTGAAAACGCGCGGAATATTGCTACGATCCTGCAGGAAGCTGGTGGAAAGAACAAGCTCTACTTGGATTCAGAGGGCTTGGGACTTAACGTCAATGTTAAACCCGACACCTCTGATAGTTAGAGCTTTGGGGAGCCATTGAGAGGAGGGCAGGGGCTACAACAGTGCCTTTATTGTTGATAAAGAGGGGTGTGGGACCGGTTTCTAGCATTATCGGAAATAATCTTGTTTTTGAATTTGGAGTGTGGTGGTGTGAGATGAAGATTGTCCATTCCTAATCTCAGCAATTCTTCTGTCCGCCACCTTCCGTCCGAAAGCTCCAAAACATCGAATGTATCTGAAGGGGAGTTGGTCATGTATAAATATCATAGCTAGCCGCTATTCTTTTTTCTCTTTGTTGCCATTACTGTTTAAACTGTTACTATTACTGGAAAGTGAATCGAAAAAATACAAGCATCTCCTATATCAAAATAATCTTACCTTTATAGTTCGTTGCGCACTTTATCGAATATCCCATTATTTGCCAACAAGACCTATGTCCGTTCATTCACAACTACTACTATCTCAGCGAGAGGGTGTTAATTCACACAAAACACAAAATGGCCTAGTACGTCGTATGTTTGTTCTTCCAATACCTGATTAAAACTGTGTGCAGAGCTTGAGACATTCCCTGCGTCGAAATTTGGAATAACTTTCCCCAGCACACTCAGGCTATCATCAGGGTGGTATATATGAATATTCGAGTGAACATGAATTACCAACTAGGGCGTAAAAAATTTAAATGTATTGAATATTCCATTACGTTCATCTATCGTTAAATAGGTCATTCATTGCATTGGTAAACTATCATTTCTGAGCGAATACATGATCGTCATCAACCACGAGAAGTGAAGTGAAGTCTCTAAAACCTAGACATACTACTCCGTCTTCATTCTCTTCCTTCTCTTTTCTCTCTGAAAATGAAAATGGCATAGCAAATCGCAAAAATAAGACGGGAGCACGAAACAAAAAAACAGAAAATGGTGTGGGAAAGGGGTTTGCATTCAAAGGGAAAGGGAATTAACAATGTAGACAGAGCACAGTTCCATGGCAATCCATCTTCACGAATTGCCCCTTTGCAGTAATGTAAAAAGTATCCGAAGAATCGGTGGAAACAATCAGTAGTCCACGAGCACATTCTGGCAGGAGGAGCAACAAATCAGATGGGCCATTGGCTAAACTATTTACAAAATTGCCAAGTCAATTGTAGCGGCCCTCGGGGTAACCTCTATGATTGCCGGGCCAGCAATGATGATATTGTCAGCAATAGATCCCCGAGCCTCGGAGTTGGTGAGGAAAACGTATGACTGCCCGCTGACCACCGACGGAATGGCGACAGCAAAGAGTAGGTCAACAGGCTCAACCAGAACACTGACGATATCGAGGCCACTAACGAAAGTGAGGAAGAGTGAACCTCCGCCGATATTAACATTCCTTCCGACACGGAAGTGGGCGCGAGAGGAAATAGCGTGGGGCCCGGGCTGGGTTGGAATCAACGTTGGGAATGCCCGGAATGGAAGGGAGGCATTCTGCTGAGGGCACGATACGATAAAAGAAGCAGCCAAAGAAAAGATAGCATTGGTATCAATTGGCGTGCCGGTAACCTTGGCTGAGGAGATCAGGTTGAGACTGTTACGGAGGACGGATTGGTGGAGGCCTTCCGAGACTAGAATAGCACCTGCTTGTGTAAGAATATCCTTATTCGTGATAACCCTCGCACCGCCCAAATAAGCGGAGGTACCAATGCCTTCCAGGATAGATGCCAGTGCAAGGAAGCTGTGAATATCGGTGTACGGGAAATTATATTCACAGGCTGAAACGGGGACAACTCCTGCAGCTCTGAGAGCTTGTGTAAGGAACACTACATGATTCTCCTCATCCTGAGCAATAAATCCCAGCTGCTGGAACAGTCTGGCATCAAACCCAGCCTGACGGAAATGGTTCTCCGTGAATCGAGAGAGTGCGCCCTTGTAGAAAACATTCTCAAGATGCTCGAGCTATACAAAAAAAAAACCCCACAATTAGCTATGGGGCATCATTCTAGCTAGGGAACTAAAATGAAGTGTGATGGCCACTTACAGTCAGGGCAAATTGAAGGATATCCACATCCGTAAATCCCCGTTCTACCTGGGGCGCTTTCAAAGGCGCACTAAAGACACCTGAAAGACCGGGAACTCCAATAAACGCGCTGCGTAGAAAGGACTTCATAGTTCGATTTTGTTAGACCAAAAAAGGAATGACAGAATAAAATATTAAAGGCGCATAAAAATAAAATACTAAAAATCGGGAATATGACGGCAAGAAATTGAACGAGTGGTGACCAACACACCAAAAGATAGAATATCAGAAAAAATGAGAGTGGGAATAGAGACAACTTCAAAGCTTGCGGATGATACTTAGACAAAAAGTGGAGATAGATCTTGGGGGAAAATGGCCCCTTTTTACATTGCCAGTCAAAACACCCAAGCTCAATTCGATTGACTAGCTTCCATCCTCACTATTTCTAAAGGCAGCGAGTAGGGGCGCTGCGATGCATTCCTTTGCAGAATCAGACTCCTTGAGACGCTTTCTAAGTGGATATATAGTCGCTTTGAGGCACATGAGACGTTAAATGTAGTGTCAAATAAGGTAAATGCCCTGAGTGTGGCACGCGGACAGGGACAGGTATCTCTTTGTGGCGCAGTGAAGCTTCGTTCAGACACAGACCTAAACCAGTTGCCAGATTAGGATTCAAAATCATCAGGCCATTTTCAGATATGAAGGCATCTCATCCGCATTTGTTATGGCGTGTAGAAGTTGGAAGTTTTAAATAGCTTGGTTAGGAAATTTGTCAGAAAAGCTGTAGATATGAGACGTTTGCTCCCATCTTCAAGCAAGAAGTAAGAATGTGTAATCATCGAAAGAGGAGAAAGCAACGCGCATCACCCTCGTATTCGAATTAAAAGTCATATTGTCAATAGCAGCTTCAGACATTTGCGGGCTGCGTGGGGCATTACCCCTGGTGAAGCTGTGTTCTCCTCTCTCATTCATAGCAAAGATTCTAATCTGCAGGAGCACTGCTGATTAATGTCCATTCTTGAATCTCTTCGGGCCTCCAGGCTAAACATCGATCAATGGGTGGGTTGCCTTTCCATCAAAAAAAAAAAAAAAAAAAAAAAAAAAGAAAAAAAAAGAAAAAAAAAAAGTAAGATCGGGATTCAAAGCCACGCGGGAACTCCGCTCAGGACAATATATTTGCGGTCGTCGCCTGTTTGACGCCAGTTTCAGGTTGGTAGTTTGTGACTGGGAATAAGCCACACACGCCACTCCTCTGTAGGGTGAAACCACGGATAAGCATCAATTCGAGCTACAAGCTTGAATTTCGCTTGTGATTGAGTATTCCTGCGCAATTATCACACTGTTGCAGGGTATTTAATATATCAGAGCAGAGTAGTAGAGAAAAGGCTTATGATGAGCTAATTGTCACGTGATTATCATTTACAGACTGTAGTTGTTAAGAATTACAGTCAACAACAAGCATCAAATGCTCGCTTACGCTCGCTTTTCTGCTTGCGCAGCCCCCTCTACCACTTCCACCCTCCCCCCCAACCACTCCCTACCCCCCCTTTACCACCCCTTCCACCCCTTACCCTCTACCCCCTCTACCACCACCACCACCTCTACCACCCCTACCACCCCTACCACCCCTACCACCCCTACCACCCCTACCACCTCTACCACCACCACCTCTACCGCCTCTACCACCCTCTCCCCCTACCACCCTCTTCCACTCCGTATCACCCTGTATCACCCCTACCACCCCTTCTACCCCTTACCCTCTACCCCCTCTACCACCACCACCGCCTCTACCGCCTCTACCGCCCCGCAATCCCCCTCTATCACCATCATCATCTCTACCGCCTCACAACCTCCTTTATCACTTTCATTCTCTATCTCTACTCACTGTTATCACCCTTTTCATCTCTTTCACTCTCTACTCTCTCATCATCATCATTATCATCATCTCTACTTCTTCTACTACTCTCTTTCACTCTGTATCATCTCTATCACTATTATCAGATTAATCAGAGCTGTACAGATTGCAGAGTCAGCTATTCAATCTCATTCATGAATTCAAAGAGATATATATGACATCACATGAGATTTTATTACAGAGTATTTAGCAGTATATACTATAAATACAGAGATCAAAATATGATAGAGATAGTAAGAGAGAAGTAGAGATAGTGAAAGTAATAGAAGAGACTGTAGAGTAGTAGAGATAATAATAATGATAGAGAGACTAGAGAGTGAAAAAGATAACAGAGAGAGATAATAGAGATAATAGAAGTGAGAGAGATAATAGAGATGATAAGAGAGAAATAGAATAATAAGATAAGAATAGAGATAGAGAGTGAAAGTGATAGAGAGTGCTGTGAGATAGTAAAGACAGTGATAGTGATAGAGAGTAGAGGTGATAGAGATGATAGAGATGATAAGAGTGAGTGATAAGATGAGAATAGAAATATGAAGTGAAAGTGATAGAGAGTGCTACAGCCTACAGAGTGTTAAAGACAGTGATAATAATAGAGAGTAAATAGAGTAGTGCAATTAACAGGCATTCACTACATATTCATGAATTTTTGATGAAGTGCATGTAATGTCACATAAGGTCATGTTACAGAGCATTTTACTCAGAAAAGTTAGTTTTTCTATAATATATAGAGAGATATATAGAGAGATGTCTGAATATATTTAAATATTATTTTATTAATTGCAGTATAGAGAATATCTATTATAACTAGACTAACTACTGAAATTATAAATTTCATATTTAATCTGATTTAATCTGATTTTATACCTTTTTTAATATAAGTTTCACAGAACTAAACATTAAAAAAACTTAAAAAGTGACTAGAAATTAAAACTTAGTATCTTTTGTGATGATTAGTGAGGCACTGAGCCTGCTGAGTACTGTCATCATTGATTCACTGCATGTGCTAGGCCTGTTGCAGCAGTGATGCTGCTGCTTCAGAGATGATATACTCTCTCATCACTTTTACACTCTCTCACACTGCTTCAATGACCAGTCACTCAATCTATAAAAACCTGTTTCACATTCTTATAATAATCACACACTCTCTTCTTCTCTTTTCTCTCTCTTCTTCTTTCTCTTTCTCTCATGCTCACTCATACTCACTCACTCATGTCTGAAAGTACTGCTCTCTCTCTTCTGCAGAGAGATGATACTGTCTTACTCAGCTCTCATCTCTTTTTCTTTCTGTGTCTGTGAAGTTGCTGAGCAGTTATCTTCTGATGATCTTGTAAGCTGCTACTTCATTAATTTCTGAGTCATTCACACTATCTCTCACAGTGTTACTTCACTTAATCTGAAGTCTAGACTGCTGTAAGAATAAGTACTCGCAGGCGATTATTCGGGTGTTTGCAGCTTGATGTGATATGTACTGTTAACTACTAGAAGTATTCACAGTTGTCACGCTCCCGGCCGCGCCAAGGCCCCGTTGCGGTTCCACACGGCCCATTGCTTTCATGCGGATGATTTCATTCTGTCTGAACCGGTTTCCAACCGCCCTATGACATCATTTGAATATATCATAGAAAGATCCGATTGATGAATATGAGAACCTCACTTCTATATGAGGTCAGCAGATTACTCTTCCTTGACAATGAGACACTGCTAAGGTATCACTCCAGCTATTCTCACTCATGAAATGAGAGAAGGGTATTCACTCATTGTCTATATAGAATAGCTAGATACTAGCTTCTCATTAAAGAAGTCAGTGATTCATTTTACTTCTACTGAAATATATACAAG